CGACAGAGGGGGGAGTACAGGGTGCGCTGCAAAACGGTACGAACACACGCACAAACTTCATACAGACGGTCCAACAAAAACTGACTGCTGCACCACAGGACTCTGAAATCAACATTATCATGCCATTTAGTAAAAATCAACTGAATCTGAATGCAATATTTGCTTCATTTCTTTCAGTTGAAAAGAAAGTACACGGTTGAGCTGAATGAATATCTAAAGGTGGGTCATTTAGAAGACNAAACAGAGGGAGGAGTACAGTGTACGCTGCGGAACGGTATGAATGCACACACACACACACACACAAATTGCTTCATATAAACTGCCCCATAAAAACTAACTGCTGCACTACAAGACTCTGAAATCAACATTATCATGTCCGGTTACAGCAAGAATCAGCTGAATCTGAATGCAAGATTTGCTTCATTTCTTTCAGTTGAAAAGAAAGTACACGACTGAGCTGAATGAATATCTAAAGGTGGGTCATTTAGAAGACTACAGTTGCAGCGTTGAGCTGATGCTGGTAGACTTTGTGTGACGATGATGTTCATGTTCCTCAGACTTTGGATAAGGAGGAGCAGCAGCAGATCCTGAAGGAGAATGGCATCAAAATACCTAAACAACGCAAGGTAAGAATACATTTTGTCGTCCCAATAGAGGAAGAAGGTGTCTACACCCCAGATTCACATCAGGCAGTATTAGTCATGAGCTATGTGCTATGTACTGATTGCATGATTTATTCCTCCTAAGTACCAATTAATATAATATCCATGTTCATATAATACAGTTCATATTTATTCATATTTGGTAGCAGTTATGCGATACTGATGGCATGGTTCTAAATTTTATCTTCAAATTGATGTGTGACCTCTCTTTTTAAACCAGGGTGAACAGCATACCGAAGGTGCGGAGGGTCTGCCTGCCAAACCTCCTATGTAAGCCACACACACACACACACACACACACACACACACACACACACCTTCATGACAGTGATTTGAATTGAACTTTGATTCCTTTGTTTTGCTTTGTTTGGATGTTCACAAATCTTTCACTGTTATTATCATATTTACCACTCACTGTAGAATCATGTACTTAGATCGCAGTTCAGTTTTTTAGTAAGAATTCACTGAACTTTTATTGTGAAGTGTCATCCAAGTGGATGAAAAAATAACTGCTGCCACCAGAGTAGATGAGGATGTACTGTCATTTAAAGTGTTGGCAGAGATGGTATTTGGTTACAGCCGTGGTAAGCCATATGGAATGTGTTTGATGTTCTGTATTGTTAATCAGACTGTTGTTACATGTGGTGTACCACTATACTTAATTGATATGGAGCACAAGCCACTCCCACTCAGTTCAAACGTGCTGTGTGATGCTCGGGTTTGGATTGCGCACCCTCTTTCTTGCCTCCCTGACAAAGAAAGGGGCATCACAGAAAGGGTGTGTCATTTTAGGTGCTCTTTAAAGTTGGCCACATTTACATCCTCATCCACTAGAGGGTGCGGCAGTTCCAAGGGATACATGCTCAGTATTTCCTGTCTGCCATTAGATATGAAGAAGACCTTTGGCGGACCAGCGAAACTTATTTAACTTTGTGACAAAAGTCTTGAAAATTGTCTTATGTTGTCTAGGCTTTTTTTCACCTTTTGTGACTTATATTTGATTGTGTATGTGTATCTTTTAGAAATGGCTATAATATATTCTGCAAAGAGCAAATAGCGTCCATGTCGGGTATCGCCAAAAAAGACTATGTGAGTGTTTGGGCCAAACGCTGGCGAGATTTGACTGAGCGACAGAGGGGGGAGTACAGGGTGCGCTGCAAAACGGTACGAACACACGCACAAACTTCATACAGACGGTCCAACAAAAACTGACTGCTGCACCACAGGACTCTGAAATCAACATTATCATGCCATTTAGTAAAAATCAACTGAATCTGAATGCAATATTTGCTTCATTTCTTTCAGTTGAAAAGAAAGTACACGGTTGAGCTGAATGAATATCTAAAGGTGGGTCATTTAGAAGACTACAGTTGCAGCGTTGAGCTGATGCTGGTAGACTTTGTGTGACGATGATGTTCATGTTCCTCAGACTTTGGATAAGGAGGAGCAGCAGCGGATCCTGAAGGAGAATGGCATCAGAAGACCTAAACAGTGCAAGGTAAGAATACATTTTGCCGTCCCAATAGAGGAAGAAGGTGTCTGCAGACACCCCAGATCTAAGTATTCACATCAGCCAGTACTAGTCATGAGCTATGTGCTATGTACTATGGATCCTAAATGAGAATGGCATCAGAAGACCTAAAAAACTAAAGGTAAGAAGAAATTTTGGTTGGAGGGGGCTTTTATTAGATTTGACTGATCCTATTTGCTGTATTGTTCATTGTCTATGTCATTAGGATGTTTCTGTTCTTCACTATGCCACATATAAACGACAGCTTATAGTCAGTGAGAACTGTTTGATTCTGTACCCCTTATGTGTAAAAACTACATTCGATTGACTTTCTCGTTTAAAAATATTTCTGATGTGCAGGGGATTAATAGAAAAGTGAGGCATGCAATACAATTTCCTGGTGAGCCCAAGATGCCATCTCGGTGAGCAACGTCAAACAACATTTGTGCCTCAGGATTCATTAAAACAAATGAAATCACCAGTTGTCTCTCCGAAGACAAATTTGCGACTGTTTTTTTATTCTTCACTCACAGATCTGGTAATGTAATCTTCTGCAAAAAGCAGATGGAACTTCTGCAGGAGGAATTCCCAAATGCAAAGGAGCGCTTCTTAAAGGTCAACCAAAGTTGGCAGAAGCTCTCTATAAAGGAGAAGGAACAGTATAAAGAGAAAGTACAAGTAAACTTCAGAAAATACTTAATGGAGCTGGAGAAGTGGTATAAGGTATAAAGAAATTTCTTGAAATGTTTTTTATTAATCTAGGTCGTTTTTTTATTAAATTTAAACCATGTCACCTTTTACATTCTTCAGACGTTGACGGCAGCAGAGCAGAGCGATTTTCAAAAACATAACCCCAGTGTAAGCAATGCAAGCACCCATTTGTATTTCTATTCATTTTAATTAGTTTCTTTAAATTCACAATATACCTATTTTTGCAGAAATGTCGGTACCTCAATGTCAAAGAAATTGAAGTTGAGGTCGGTGAAGAACCATGCTTGAACATACCATCGGTAAGTTGAACTGTTGATACAGCTCACATGAAGTAACACACTCTTTGATGATGTGACCAATGCAAACCTCTGATAATACAGGTGGCCTTATAGTGAAGGTTAAAGCACTAGATTTTAATAAGTGTGTAGTCAGTGTTACATTGTCAGTCAGTGGTGCAAAGTCAGTAAAGTCATAGTTCACTTTGTAAGTTTTGTCCAGACAGAATAACAGGATATCATTGATAGAATAAAAAAGAAAATTCTATTTGCTGCACTCAGGTGTAAAAAGTTGTCTTCTCAGTCCACATGTATTATACTTCACACAGGATTCAGAAGATGAAGACATTGAGGAAAGCAGCAGTGACGAAGAAGTGGTCAATCTGGACTGGGATGAGGTTAGGAAACTTTAAAACTTACTTTTACTTTTGTATTCAATTATGCAACTGTGCATCCAGATGTTCTAAATATTAACTGTTGATCCACAGGATGAGGAGGAGGAAGAGGAAGAAGAAGATGATATCATGTTTGAGATGTATTAGATTGTGATGAGATGGACAGCAGAGGTCTCACACACACACACAGCATGTTCAGAGCTGGATTCTGGATTTGAGAAGATGGACAAGTGCTTCAGTGGCTGAGTGCCAAAATAACCGAAACTGTTTCATGTGCCCATTGCTCAGAGTAAGAAGTTAATGGAGAAATAGATTTGGGACTTTTAAGTGGGTCCTGCTTTACAACCTAATCTTGTGGTCTTGTCATGAAAATAGGATCCATGCAAAAATACTGTTTGAAGACCATTATTTCATCTGTTGTGTTTCCATGGTCTGAACTCTCAAATCAATTTGTTCATTTTACCACAGAGCAAATGTGGGTCTTTTTTAATATTCTGTCATAGGGGAAAATGTTGAACATGTACCGAGTGGGATTCTTCTGGCCCTTACCACAACATAATGCATCTGATGTTGTCTATAGCCAGACTATACATCCTTGTGAACAAAGGAGACAACAAACTCAGCTGATTTTCTACTTCTGCTGTTAAGTAATGAATATATGTATACATAAAGTTGTTATAAAGAGAAATCTCCATGGCCAGAAGCCATTTGGATTGTGTTTTCTATTAGTTGGTTGGGGATTGGTTTTAATTAAGTGGAAGAACAAAAGAATTTACCTCAGCATTGTTTTTTTAATGTTACGAAGGCTTTCTAATTATGCTGTTTGTAAACCCCACAAATAAAAGATGTTTATAATAAAAGTGCTGCATAAAGATGTAATTCATCTCAGACTGCTTGATTCAGTGAAGTTCAAATAACTGGGCTTTAACCAGACCAGGTTTTAAAGTACGATGTGTTATTAATGGGAACTACAAAGCCAAACAAAGTGTGTAGGCTAACGCAGTCACATGCTGGCCTCGGTGATAAATACACGGAGTTGGTGTTGAGTGTGTAAAGCCCCGGCAGTGCAGCAGAGGAAGCACTTGGTGGAAAGTCGTCGTGTAGCGATCGATTGCTACTGTCTGATCTCTCTGACGTAAAGATGGATGCCAGCCGAAATAGGTAAATAAAAACAATTAGTAATTTGCGCGGCTGTGATTGAGATATTCCCTGTAGTTAGGCTTTCTATAGGGATACAAGCGTCGTTTTCTTCCCCTCATTCATGGTTTGTACGGAGAGTTGAGAGGCGAACAGCCGCAGTGCAGCAGCAGCAGTGCCGGGTTCGTGGACAAGCCTTACTGTAGTCAAATGTAATTATTCAATAGCAAAACCATTCAGTCGCCTACAAATGCGCTACATTGTTTCTGTTTACTCAACCCGGTGTGATACATTTGACACGTTTAGCCCGTAGCTGTAGCTGCTGTTGACCTGGTGGTTTTGTGAGCAGGATACCGCCTTGTAACCTCTTGGCATTTTCAATTCCTCCAGCCTATTCATAGCCACGCTCTTTGTTTTCTTCAGCAAGGTTTAGGCTAAGCTGCCTTCATTAAACACCAATGCTCGGACCAGTGTTTGAGACGTTTGGCTACCGACTATGTCTGTTTATCGAGGTGTTCAGCGCTACAACACCAACGCTAAGAAATTGTGTTTTTGTGTTATTCGTAGGTTATAAACGTGGGAAGTAACTCCCTGGCAGTGTTCAACGTGCAGTTGTAAGTAGCTGCATCACATCCAAGGCGTCAAATGTTGACCACACACTGATTTACATTCACTGGTTAAACAGGATTTAATGGCACCGTGTTGCTAACTGTGTGTTTCCCTCCTGCTGCAGCCCCTGTTTTGGCCAATGCTTGCTGCGCTACAGCATGACCACAGAAGTGTCGGCTCATCTGGTAGTTCTGGCAAATGAAAATGGAGGAGGTTTCAATGTCCAGCCTGGACAACAGCAAGCTGGAGGTACAGTAGAGTAAAGCCACAGAATAATAATGCTTCAAGCAGCCTTGGAGATTCACATTGAATCTGCAGATGCACTGCAGAGCTGTTGGATACAAACCAGCAGTGGTAATATACACAAATGGGCATCCCTGTATGTCTCTTGGCCTGACTTGTGTCTGTTTCCTGATCCTTCCCTGCCAGGGCTTAGCTCAGGACATCCTGTCTGACCTGGTGGAGGATGCATGCCTGGGTCTTTGCTTCGAGGTCCACCGGGCCGTCAAGCAGGGCTATTTTTTCCTGGATGACACGGACCAAGAAAGCATGAGGGACTTTGGTGAGCACAAAGTCATTCTCTCCCTACAAGAGAAGCAAGCTCATTTTTTTATTTCCAAGCCACCTATGCTTAATTACCTCAAGACAGCAAGAAGTTGTGTGAATTCAGTTTGCTGTCCATATTGTGACAATAGATAGTAACAAAGAAGGCCAAAGACAGAAATGACACATTCATTCTTTCTGTAAACTGTAGGTAGGCTCATGTATTTGAGATCCACAGCCATTTAATGCAATTAAATGATAAAACGTAAACCTTTAGTGAATACTGTTGCAACTCTTGCTTTCAATTTGCAGAAATTGTGGACCAGCCGGGATTAGACGTGTTTGGCCAGGTGTACAACCAGTGGAAAAACAAAGAGTGTGTATGTCCTAACTGCAGCCGAAGCATCGCTGCATCACGCTTCGCACCACACCTGGAGAAATGCCTGGGGATGGGACGTAACAGCAGCCGCATAGCCAACCGCAGGTATGAGAGTAGCCTAAAACCTAAAACAGCTTAACCTGAGGTACCTCTGTTTGTTCCAGTGTAAAACAGTATCATCTCATAGCTAAACTAAAGTGGATTCTGACTGCACACTGTGCTGATGTACACCTCATTGTATGTCCTGTAAGGTAAAAAAAAAAAAAATTCACCCACCTGGATAGAATGTATAAAACATCAACAAAAATCTTAAAAAATCAGGACAGATGTAGGTGCTGAAGCAAAAAGTGGTTTCAGGTCAGATTGTATGTGTTTTATTATCAAACTTGTTACTTGCGAGGAGTAATGATGACTTATTGTGTGCGTCATGCCTTCTTCTCCTCTCTTTTACAGAATAGTCACTGGTAACAACACAAACAACAAATCGGAGAGTGACCAAGAGGATAATGATGATGTCAATGATAATGACTGGTCTTATGGGGCAGAAAAGAAAGGTAATGCACTGGTATAACCTCTTTTTGGTAATACAGAATGTTGATTGCTGATATAATCCTCTAATGATGTTGCGCACATGAAATTACTCACGTTTCTAAATCTAAAATTGAATGTCCTTCTTTTACAGCCAAGAAAAGGAAATCTGATAAGGTACTTTTTTATTTTCACTGTAAAAATTAATGTAGCAATCTTGAGGAGCATTATACTCCTTTTCTTTTTAATCCCTAAAATTAATTCATTTATATAAACACATGGAGAATATTACCTATCATTCCTGATTTGTCAACTCAAAGTATTTTTTTTCTCTTCGCATATCAGAATCCAAACTCACCCAGAAGATCCAAATCATTCAAGCATAAGAGCAGTAAGTAGAAGTAATTCAACTTCCTCTTAATGTCAAGACTACAGTTTGTGTACCCATATAATAGAGCACTAACAATTGTGGAAATACTTACAGTCTGAAACGTACCAGGAACATTAGGCACGAAAAAGCTAAACACGCAATAGATGCTACAGAGTACCTCTGTTATGAATACCCATGGGAATTTTTGGAAACAGGTTATATGATCTACAAGTCTGCAACTATTTTCAGGCTATATATGACCCTTTTGCATGTTGGTGGTCCTAAATTACAGGGAAAGGTATGGGAGCATTTTGTTTTTTGGCATTTTGTTTTTTTTGTTTTTGTTTTTGTTTTTAATCTGAATTTGAACAGTAAGAAAGTCTTCGTTTTATTACATTATCCTCTGTGTGGATAATGTAATAACCAGCATAGAATGTAATACATTTCTACATCAAAGTACGTTTCATTGTGAGCTCAATTTATAACATTAAAGGAGAGTTTTATCACCTGACACAAAGCTTCTGTTAGCAAATGACCCTAGCTCCAGGATTTTTAGTCTTTTGTTGTCTTACAGTTTAATACTGACACATTCATTTATAACTGCTAACAAACATGTAAGTTACAGGTGTTCAGCTATACAGTATCAGAGTTCTATCAATTCATACTGAAACTTTGGAAAGCTACTGCCAATTAAACTTGACAAAGAGTCATCAGAAAGTGTTTCTCAAAACTTAGTACTTGTTTTTCGTTTTTCCAAGCAATTTTTGAACTGTTTTAAAACCACCCACAATTTAATTTTTCCAGCTGTGAGCATTTTTAAAATTTCACTATTATTTAACGCCACGTGTATTCGGATGGAATGAGTGAATGAATGGTCTCTTTGCTGTTTATTTCCATAGGCATGATGGGTCCTAGGCGTCGTATGGACAACCAGGAGAGCCCACGTATGCTGATGAAAGATGAGGCATTCCCTCAATAATACACTCAGCCACAAATACACATTCAATATGTGTGTGTGTGCGTACACACGGACGCACACACACAGGAAGACCAATAACACTTCACCTTTGGTTCTTTATGATGTGATATCAATGTACGTTGATATTATAGGTGACATTTATGGTGTTTGCTGCACTGCAGAAGCAGTCCAGACCTCCCACTGTATACTTGACAGATTTTTTTCTCGCAAAATCATCGTACCAATACTCTTTTTTTTTCTTTTTTCTTTTTTCTTTTTTTCTTCTTTTGTTCAGTTAATTTTGTTTGTTGCTGGAGTCCAAAATAATGAATATCACCATATACGATTTCACTGCACAGAGATAGATTCTGGTGTAATTCATTCAGTGGCCAAGCAGGGGCAGCTGTGTGCACATACAATACTGTATGTCGTTTCTTAAAATACAGAAATGATTAGGCATTAGGTGTACTTATATTTACTCACCTGTTAAAAATCTCTTTTTTTTTTTTAACAATAATGTTAAAGACAATCTTTACTAATGGTTTGTCTTTTTATTTTCACATTCACTGTCAGGCTCATAGTTCTCCAGTTGAATTACAATACATTGTACATGTGAGAGAAGCAACTCTCAGTTTGTCATTCACCTGTGGAAACTTGTTTTAAAAATGTTCAGTAAATGAACCCCTAATTGTACAAGCAGGTATTTACTGCAAAAAAGCAGGTTTCTTTTTGTTTCATTTTTGGTGGATAGATCGGCTTGTTTTTTAGCATTCAAATACGTCTTTGTATCATGTGTTTACATTGTAAGGGTTACATACAGTATATCCTTTGTGTGATGTGATAGTGTAAATATTCCAATAGTTGAATTGCTGCTATCATGGCTCAGTTTGTTTCATCTGTCTAGCATAATAAATGATTTGTTACCCGTCCTATGGTCTTGGGTTAACTTGAACTCTTAACAGGCTCTGAATAGGGTTTTGATGGATGTGAAACAACAGAAACAACCTCAGTAACCCTTGCTCAAGTACTTGTAATACCCAGCGACCTACAGGGGATGCTGTTGATCAAATGGTGAGGTTTTGAGTAGAATTACACATCTGTTGGATGAGACAGTAAATGCTGCTTATTAAAGGGTTTTTAAGCAACAAAATGTGGTAGATCTTATCTTTAGGAAACTGACAGGTGATAAACACAACATAGATCACACAGTTTGACCTTTTTTCTTCGAAGAAGTTGAGTTTCCAGTACTGAAAACTGCCAGAGGGACTCAGTTATGCTGCCTTCAAGCGCTCTTCCTAAAGTCTTTTTTCTGAGTTCTTTTACAGTTGTGTGTCTGGGCAAAGGGGCTGAGCAAAAATGCTAGAAAAACTTTCATGTCGGTACTGTTGTGTATGAAGGATGTTACAGTAGTCGTGGACCACATGTACTGCAAAAGGGCATTCAGAAAATGATGCATTTAGTATGAATCATATGATACTGCCAGTATTATCTAAGGAATGTGAGATATGTTTGTACATATAACAACGATCCTTTTGTCGAAACACATGGGGCTTTCATCTTTCACTAGGGCTCTATCATTGCCTTCATCTGTCAACATCCAAATGCAATGCGTATGTATATGTGTCATTGCTGGTACTTTATTGAAGTCATTGATTTGTGGTTCACTTTAACTTAACTTGAACCCCACTGTACATCCCTTCTGTGAAACAAGGCTAGATTACCTACCAGGCAAAAAAGGCAAAATGCCCTATGGCCCCAACCAAAGTGCCCAAAAGATCTCAGATTCACTACATTGCAAATTGCACCACAAATTTACATTATCAACAGAGGCAGTTCCTGCATTGTTATTAAATTTTGTGGCTCTGTCTTTTAGATAGACTTCTGGGTAAAGACCTTCATCTATCTATCTTCGTTTATATTGTGCTCACACAGTGCTTACTTCTATATAATGTTGTGCTTAATCAAATTACTACAGACTAATTGATATACAGAAAATCTGGAGCCAGAGAGCCTTATTTATCCATATGAGTGCTGGTTGATTTCTGGGAACCTGGACATGACAGGGTACATACAGAATGCATGGGGTAGCCTATGATAGGTGGATTCTGGTTCATGCAGTAAACATTGGCCTAACAGTATACTTTTTCCCCTGGGGGCCATCTAACAGGTTAAACCAGCCATGCTATGAGGTCTGTTAATTGCCAAACAATAGCAGTTTTGGTAATGAGGAAGATCAGTGCGCCTGAGAGTCCGTGTACAGTTTGATTTCACCACCAGAATGATAGAAAGAGGAAGTGAAAAACGTTCATGGACCCATCACGTAGTAGTGCTTGCATTGTCACTTATATGAACTCATAGAAAATGTTTGATTGTTCGCGTTTTTATGAAATAATGTCACACAAGTGAAAATGTAAATTCAGAGTACCCAGTTCGTTCACGCCCAGAGGAGAAACCTTTGATTAGGCAAGAGTAAAGGAGACATCGAAAATTTCCGACGTTACTGAAGGCAGCATTTAGCATTGTGTGTGTAGGCAGTTAGAAGACTACTTGGTTTTGCTTTAGTCGCTCAGTTAGTCGTTAGACAGGCGTTATCATGTTTTTCATTAGCCTCACTGGAAAATCTGATACTTAGCGATGTTTAGACCTAAAGAGAAAGGGAGGGGATACAAGCAACGGCCACCACTTAGTGTCTCCAGAGACCAAGCAGTTGTAGGTAGAAGCAAATCCCGGAACTTGAAACGGTAGGAGACGAGCTAACATTAGCTAGCTTTTTGTTGACAGTGTGCCTGCTGTCAAACCAGAACCCGACCTCCTCTAAAGTTAGTGTAGTTAGCTAGCTGGATACTTTACGACTTGTACCAGCGACGTTCATTTAGCAGCCTGCTAGACTTGTATTTGGACCGAAATTTGGCAGAAGTTTCCGTCACTTTTAACCACTTGTGGATCTAGAAGATGGCATCAAGAGGAGGCTTCACGGGTCCCCCGATGAATCCGAATCTGAATCCCATGAATGTTGGACATTCAGGGGGCATGAGGATGCCAGGAATGCCGCAACCTCCGGCGGGATACCCCCGGAGCATGAACAACGCTCCCCAGTACCTCCAGGTTGGTTTTCTGTTGAATTTGTGTCTGCTAAATAGAAAAATTTGGTGTTGAGCGAAAGGTTATTTGACTTAAGCATTTTTTTTTATTGCTGTTGCTTCTTTAAATTTATGTTACCCTCTCTGCTTTTAAGAGTAAATGTGGCAGTCTTACATTTGAGTTAAACAAACTTATCGAGTTAAAATGGGTATCTGGCAGATATACCAAAATAAAAACAACCTTAAGGCGCATCAGTTTTAAAATATCAAGGTGTGGAAACTACTTCCGCATTTGAAAGGGTGTGTAACTACTTACTGCCACTAATACATTGAATATAACATTTTGAACATAACCATTATAGTGATTGGTCATTGTGTGTCTTTAAATATTTGGAGGCTTAATTAAAATTATTACAATAGAACAATGTTTTGTGCATGTGTGAAAGCGAAAATCACGTGGCAGCCCTTAGCCTAATGTCAGTTAGCTTGAAAACAAAAGTAAGTTTATCATCACCACCATCTGTCAGAGCTAAGCCTGCATACATTATCCCAATTTTGCCACCATCTGCAGCTTCATGTGGTCTTTAGTTGATATGCATTATAACAGTCGTGTTAGGGCCATATGGGTTCAGGTATTTGCTTTTCAGTTGAAAGACAAATCTACATTGTTGATAAATCAGTACAATTTTGTTTATTTAAGATTGTAGCTGGATTTTAAAACAAGATAAGGGTTGTAGATTGATCAAAATCACACATTCATACACCTCACAATAAAACAGAACAATTAAAAACTTTGGTAGGAGTTACTAATGTTAAAGTTACTGTTGTCTACATTGTTTAATCTGTACATACTGTACATTTACATCAAATTTCCTTTAACTGCTTGATATGTTGTTATTTATGATGATTAAATCTAGTTCTATAATTCCATGGTGCACACAATAACATCTATTGTAAGCGACGTTCTGTCTGTGCTAACTTCTCTTTTTATACACTGTTGATATCCAGTATACTTGTGCATACAGTAAGCCATTTACACTTATTTCAAAGACCCAGCAGAACTCAGGAAACACTCATTTTTATCATCTATGTAATTATCCTTTTATACTCTTTTTTTGATATTAAATCTAACATCAGTATCACATTACATTGGGAATATATACTAATCTGTTGTAAACCTATAGTGCAGGAAGAAAGCATACACATTTCAATAACCATAGTTTTTTTTTGTTTTGTTTTTTTTGTTGTTTTTTTTTGTCAAGGGAAAGGAGTGAGTACTAGAAAAGAAGAAAGAAACTGGTTTAGTACACAGCAGAGTGTTTTCAGTATTTGAAAATTCTTGAACCTGGAATTACAGCTTCAGCCTCCTCCCTTTTTCTCCAGCGCCCAGGGATGCCACCCAATAGGGTGGGGGGCCCCATGGGGTCAATGGGGGGCCAGCTGCCTGGTCCCTCTTATGGTGGTGGGAACATGCCCATGCGGCCAGGCATGGGGCCTCCAGGCATGGACACCTCAAGGAAACGGTTCCTTCATCAGCATCAACAGCAGCAGCAAGAGGCGCTGGGAGGAGGCCTCAGACGAGGGTAAACTGTGGAGAAGTGAGAGTGTTTGTGTGAGAGAAGGAGAAGAGAGGGAGAGGAACAATGCCAAGGTTGATTGACCAAGACAGCCTGGCGCCAAATCAGAGAATCTGGCACTCTGGAGATTTTGACTTTACTTTCATATAAATGGGGCTGCAACTAACTAAGTTTTTTATTATTATTGATAAATATGTGGATTATTTTCTCTATTTATTAATCGATCCCAAAAGAAAATTGCAATTTCCTAAAGCTCAAGGTGACATTTTAAAATGTCTTGTTTTGTCCGAACAACAGCCCAGAATACATTCAATTTATGATGATACAAAACAAGAAACAAAGAAAAGCAGCAAATCTTGCTATTTGATTAACTTGAACCTAAAAACATTTGGCATTTTCCTTTTAATTAATGACTTAATTAAATCAAGAGTCAAGCTGTTTAAGGTTTTTTCACAGCCACTTTTTAACAACAGCAACAATGAATAAATAGAAATAAAAATTTTACTAGCATCACTTGAAATACTGTTTACTTTTTAAATCACATCACATTTCCTCCTTTTTTCATAATTTAGACATACGGAACCTCATTTTCACTTGCTTTTCACCAGTTTGTTTTAGTCAGTCAAAGTCAGACTGACTAAAACAAACAACTGGTGAAAAGCAATGGTCAACTCAAACATTTAGATTTCTTTATAGTATTGTTATTTTGTTGCTTTTTGTGCAGATGGAAGAGTTCAGAATCTCAGTTTCACATTTTTGTTTAGTAATGTACATACAAACATAATGATGATGTTCAGAAGGAAATTTACTCAAATTATAGCTCAGAGTAAAACAAAAGGTCTATCTTGTCTATGAATTTATGAATGCATATTTTTATACATCGTACCACAGTAGTGATATTATCACACAGTCATGAAAATTGCAGTTGCTAATTTTGGCTGTCGTGCCTCATTAACATTATAACAACATCGCTCTTTATCTATTCATGTGTTTTTCCCTCTGCATTCTGTCTGTGAAGTTGCTGTACTGTTAAAAGCACAGCTCTGATCACATAGACACGCAGATAGGAGTATCTCATGACTGGCCTTAGCTTTCAAAGCAGCAGACATAAGTGGGTATTTTTGACTTCAAACTGCTCAGTGACGCCACAGTCATAAATGAGGCGAGCCATGATGTGAGGCCGTATTTACACTTTTAGCCACAATGAACCTCTTGTTTTTTAAAGGTTTATCTCATAACAAAATTCTCAGTACAGTAGTATTAGTGAGCTACAAGGCTAGAAGCAACATCCTAAATTCTCATTAAAGAGCTTCAGAATTAAATTTAGTCGTAATGAGGGGGAACTGTGTAATTTAATTAAAGAAACAAAACAGCTTTTATGAAGTCAATAGCAATGATAAGTGGGAGCCTGAGGTGCTCATTTGGGGGAGTTAATGAAGAGATAGCAGTGGCCAAGATTTTGTTATCGCACTATGAAGTTTTCACAAATACATTGTAATCAAATGAAGTGAATGAGGTCGTTCTGTTAGTCTTGTATTGTGTGCTCCAGTACGCGGTCAGTTCCTTGTAGATTGGTTAATGAAGGGCAAATGCTAAATGATGAGAAAACATTGGCAGCATAGTACAGTATGTCCTCATCCATTTAAGTGATATTTTTAGAGATTGGATCATCTATATTTTAGAGAAGGCACATGGTTAATGTGGGTCAATTCGTTTTTTTTTGTTTTTTTACTTTGGAAATCATCATGTATATTATATTTTCTGTGTGATTCAGGGCAAAAAGACGCAAGATGGCGGACAAGGTTCTACCACAGAGGGTAAGAAAATTTTCATCCCCTGAATCATGTCTTAGATGGAACCAATTAGCCTTTAGTTTTCTGTATTCCCTTAATACTTACATTCTACTTTTGGCTCCTTAGATCAGAGACCTGGTCCCAGAGTCCCAGGCCTACATGGACCTCTTGGCCTTTGAGAGGAAACTGGATCAGACCATCGCTCGAAAGCGTATGGAGATTCAGGAAGCCATCAAGAAGCCCATTATGGTATCTCTTCGTGATGTTGCATTATCATATTTTAAGGAAATTTAATAAAAGAAAATTCAGAGATTAGGCTTTGTGTAGTGCTGCCTAATCACAATATTAAAGTCCTTGAGATCTCAGTCCTGGTTCATTTGGTGGTAAGTGTGGTTGATGTATCCGTTAACAATGCAGCCAAACAAACTTCAACATTGTTGAAGATAAAGGAGTCAGTCTAAGATAATGTGGTGTCTTCACAATAAAAGCCACTTTATGTTGATACTTTTAATGTGAAGTGGCAGCAGTTGGAAGTTTGCATTAGCTGTGACTTAATACAACGCTGATATTGCTTAATGAGAGTGAAACAGTGCGGCTGATATGAAATGAAAACATTAACACTGGATCACATGGATGCATCATTTTCTATGAATCCCTTATTTGTAAGGAATCCAGTGTAGAAATTGTGGACTCTGCAAATAACAATGAAACAGACAGAGAAGGAACTGCATAATGTAAATACATTGAATGGCTATTGGAGAAAAATGCAGACCATAAATAGCATAAAAAAGTGCAGTTTCATATCATGAAAATCTTAAGGATTATAACTTTAAATTGTCTTGATTGACTAATTTATGACCACCATGTTCTGTCGAAAAAGCTTCCTCCACCAATCACCAGGTGCAGTTTAAAAAAAGTCTACTTGCCAAACGAATCTGATTCAAATTTCCCATGGTTCATTTTAAATTGAGCAAGAGTTTTTACTGGAATTCCCAATGCATCTGCTTGTTCATCTCTTTGACAGCAAAAACGCAAACTCAGGATCTACATCTCCAACACATACACACCCAGCAAGCCTGAGGGCGAGGAGGCAGAGAAGGTGTCCTCCTGGGAGCTGAGAGTGGAGGGAAAACTTCTGGAGGAAGTACGTGAATAACAGAGTCATTTACATTTGAATCTTCTTGCTCGGTTTCACAATTGTCTCACTGTGGTCTGACTCCAAGTATTTCAGTCTCTTGTTATTGTGTTTCTGAAAACTTCACAGTCACTCAGCTCTGGTTGGCCTGTGTCCTTGGCTCAGACCACGCAACCAGATGTGTGTTTACAGCTCTCCCCACTCCACCCGACAGCTCCTAACATACACACACATGCACTCATGCACACAAGCTCATGTTGTCTTTTGAAACAAGGAATTGAAACCACTGGCCTTTACATACCAGGAGCTGAAATGTCTCCCCTCCTTCCATCAGTTCCAGCACAACTCATTGTGTTATCTGGGTCCACATGAAGGAGGATTTTTTTTTTCCTGTTAATATTTCTCCCCTGGCTCATTGGGTTAGGCATGCGTAGGAGTTTTGCATGGAGTAACAGAAAAAGAAAAAGGGATGTGAGGGAAGGAGTGAAAGGGGTCATGTTGTGCAAACGGTTTGACAGGGCTGGGGAGAGGGTGGGGGTGCAACAGCTTTTTCTACTTGTCTACAGTTTTGTACTTCGCCACCCCCAAATGTGGTCAGAGCTAAACAATGCAGCTGCACAGCCTGACACAGCACAATAAGAATACATAGATAGCAATCTTTTTGCTCTGCATTTTCACACTCTTTTATGCACTTTTTATTCCTAGCCTGGTAAGCAAAAGAGGAAGTTCTCATCTTTCTTCAAGAGCCTCGTGATTGAGCTTGATAAGGAGCTCTATGGACCTGACAACCACTTAGTAGAGGTATGACATAATGGCATAAGCATTTGATGCAACCACATTTTAACACTTTAGGCACACGGACACAAAAATGTTGTGAGATTTCTGTTGATTAACCAGCCCCAGTCCATGTTTCAGCTCTGGTCATAAAGTGGAGTTAAGGTGGAATCAGTAAAACTTCGTTCTAAAGTAAATAGTGGACTGTGGAAGAGATGTATTTGAGTGATTGTAACTTCGTATCAACACATATCAGTTTGGATTTAGTTTAACTCTAAGAGGACAAAAATTAAAAAAAAAAAAAAAAAAAAAAAGTCTTAGTTGATATTTTACTTTTATTTTTATCTTACAGTGGCATAGAATGCCCACCACTCAGGAGACAGATGGTTTCCAGGTTAAAAGACCCGGTGATGTGAATGTTAAATGCACCCTACTGCTCATGCTTGACCACCAGGTATGTGTGCAAACACCCACACTCTCCATCTGGTTGCAAACAGTTGTACCCCTTGGTGGTATGATTTGTTCAAACCAGTTTCCACTAACTTTATGTTTGACCCAATGCTCTTTTTTTTTCAGCCCCCTCAGTACAAACTGGACCCACGGCTGGCTCGCCTTCTGGGTGTGCACACACAGACACGGGCCAGCATCATGCAAGCTCTCTGGCTCTACATCAAGAACAACAAGCTGCAGGATGGTCATGAGAAGGAGTACATCAACTGCAACCGCTATTTCAGACAAGTAATGGAATATTTTTGAGTAGACACCAACCAACAAAATGCTAGATTTCTTCTTTAGCATAAATTTCACAGTGTTACTTTGATACTTCAAAATGCTTTAAACATCATTGTGCTATAGCAAATGAGCAGATCCTTGCTAAAGTTGAGAAATATAGGGCATATATTATTAATTTCAAGAATAAATATACAATATGTATACCATCTATTTTTTTCCTTTAATTATCTTTACCTTTAGCATATCTGACATAATCTCTGACCAAATGCTTTTACAGATCTTCAGCTGTCCTCGCATGAGGTTCTCTGAGATTCCCATGAAACTGGCGGGCCTGCTGCAGCACCCTGACCCCATCATTATCAATCATGTCATTAGGTAAGAGAGCGTGGATCATTATCCCTCTCACTTGAGATTGTGCGTGTGTTCTTGCCAAATTGCCAGTGTTGTCAAGGTCTCATTTATTATTCGATTTTTTTTTTTTTTTTTTTTTTTTTTTTTTTTTACTTGTGAATCTAAAGTCCTCCAAAGCATTTCCAAAGATTTAAATGTTACAGATGATCTTTCATTTATATAAGATCTCAGCCCTAGTTTGCTATTTAAATTTGCAGTCTTCTTGTCTTATTACAATCCAACTTGAATTCTCTCATGCTGTCTTCTTGTCGTCTCTGAGCAGCGTGGACCCCACAGATCAGAAGAAGACAGCTTGTTATGACATTGATGTGGAGGTGGACGACCCACTCAAAGGCCAAATGAACAGCTTTTTGTCCTCTACAACCAACCAACAGGAAATTGCTGCTCTGGAGATGAAGGTAAGGCCTGGTCTTCCATTGAGTCACTGATACCGGCACCTCACAGCCATTTTTAGGAGAATCGCAATAAAAAGAAAGAAAACATTTGTTAAGAGCGTTATTGATTCCTGCACCGGTTGTTTTTACTACAGATCCATGAGACGATTGAGTACATTAACCAGCTGAAGACTGAGAGAGACTTTATGCTGAGCTTCAGCAATAATCCACAGGAGTTCATCCAGGACTGGCTCAAGTCTCAGAGCAGAGATCTTAAGGTAAACATCCTCTCCCAACACACTAACTCCATGTTCCTGTGTCTCTACAGGTGTCCATATAGGATGTAATTTAATTTCTGCTCTTTCTTTTTATACAGTCTTGTTCAATAAGATTGGGTTTACAAATCAAACAACATCAGTTTGATGTATTTTGTTTTTAAGAAAATAGTTTTCAAAGTTTTACAATGTGTATGTCTTAAATGTCAGTAAGGTTGTACTGTAGATATCTTATTGTGAACTTTTCTTTACGTCTTTAAGCTCAAATGGCAGCTGTATCATCACATATATCTTCATGAAAACCATAACCCCATGTTTGTTTTTGTTCACATATATTTGCTCCCTTTTTCAAATTTAAAGATTTCTATTCTAAAATGAGTTTGGAGCATTTTTTTCAGGCAATGAAATGGTAATATGTTGCCAGTACACCTGGCAAATTTACAGCTGACCTGCACCTATGGCTCATTTGGGCTCCTTTGGTACAGGGGGTCTGTGCCAACACAAACTGAATGAACAGACATTAAAACAGAGATTCAGTAACTGTATGAAAGAAAAAACATTTAGCCAATATTACAGCATCATTTGCCCAAATTAAATAAGTTCAGTGCCTCTACATCATCATCTTTTTGCTATGTATAAAGTGATCTTTTTATATATACAATTTTGTATATGTGATATTATGGATCCAGTTTGATAATTTCTTCTTTTTTTTTCATCAGTTGATGACAGATGTGACAGGAAACCCAGAGGAGGAGAGGAGGACTGAGTTCTACGAGGCACCCTGGGTACCAGAGGCAGTGGGCAGATACATTTACTCCAAAGTAAGGAATTACAGCACCTAATGCACTGTTAAATTTTTATATGTATTATAATATTAACTATTATATCCTTGATAAAGGCTTTATTGTAAGGGTTCAGTAGATTATTAGTTTACTGACATCTGGCACTATTCCTTCTTTGTTTCAGGTGCAACAGAGAAGACAAGAGTTGGAGCAGGTGTTGGGAATCCGACTCACCTAAAGATGTACTCCAGGGGAGTCGAGGCAAACTTAGGTTTACACCTCAGGTGTTGATGTCTTCTTAATTACAGTTTGAATTAGCTTGGAAAGTCACAAGCTAATGTTGCAGCTTAGGTGTTCACAAAGCCATCCTCACTGACATGGTATAAGATACCACCTTCTTAGTGGGATGCATATCTTTGCCATTCCCATAGATAATAATTTTAAAATCATCAGAGTTTATGGGACCAAAGAGGTTATTTACATGTCCTTAATAATGTGTTTGCCTTGCATTATCTGTCATTTTGAGCCTGTTCAAATAATCTTTGCCTTGTTTTGCAGTATGTTTTGTTTATGGTACAATATGCTTAAAACAACATGAGAATTGGTGCTGTTTATGCGTTTTCAGCATCACTTTGCTATTTTGAAAGCGGTTCTGTTTATCGTCACATTTTAAAGCCATAACCTTAAGATAGGGACAATACCTGATGTCTGGTAACATCTCAATAAACATGAATTGGGAAGCATAGTGGAATTAAGCATTTCATTTTGAAATATATATCTATTCAAAATTTAATTCAGAAAATTTTGATTTTATCTTCAATAAACATAGGAATTCTTAAGATGTCTTATGACTTAGATAAGAAGCTTTTGATGCCAATAATAATTGTACAGGTTTTGGTGCTTTTTTTATATTAGCAGATGTGTCATTTGAAATGAAACATTTCTTTAATATGTAAGAAACCAGGATTTCCAGGAAAGCTCTACTCTGGGAAAAGATTGAGCTCATTTGTGCGAGGACATGAATCCACTCTGTCCAGCTGTAATTCAGCAGTTCTTTTTTAGTACTTCTTGAATGTTTACATGCTGTTTTCATTTGTTGTTGTGGTTTTTCATTGTCTTAATGCCAGGTGCAGAAACTGTGGCAGGCTTTTTGGGTTAAAGGGTTCTCCACACCTCCCAAGAAAGTTAACTGGTGTTAATAAAATAGGAATGCAGTTGTAGTGTGTCAACTAAACAATGCACCAAATTGTTGTGTACACTTTAACCTTTCATTGAAATGCTGTTTTGTCAAGGTTTTGTATGAGCGGCTCTCCAGAATTTCTTGAGACATTCCATGTTAACAGATGTTACTGTGCCAAAATTTGTTTTGTGAAGAAGGCACTTAGAATTTGAGAAATGTTCAGTGTACAAATGTTTTTTGTACAGCCTCTTTGTAAAGTGTTTGCATGTTGTGTATCAATCAAAGGCCTTTATCTTTTATACAGTTGAGTCTTTTTTTTTTTCTTTTTTTTTTACAATAAATATACTTACAAATTATTGATATATTGTCCTTTTTGGTCGAAACCCTATTACAGAATTAGATAAATTTACATTAACATTGTAACACATACTTTTGTACTTAATATTATATTACATTTTTATTAAAGCTATAGGCTAGGCCTTCTCTCATCTGTACAGTGAAAGAACTGAGGTTATGCCTTGAGTGTGCATATTAGTGCTGGTCAAAGAGCTCGGTGTTTCTGAGAGCAACAACTTAAACAGGTAAGACTGGTTTACCTATCTGAAAGAGCCAAGACATGTTTACCACGCCTCAAATAACGGCAAATACATCCAACACTTGCACCTTACGACCTTCGCCTCAGTTTACAAAGTGACAAAACAGAGACGTGACTGTGTGTGTTTGTATGAGTAAATTAAGCTGTGAAACTCAGTAAGGTCGCGTTAAGTTAGCTGAAAAATATTACAAGGAATACTTATTGGGGATTTTGAGAGCCAAAGCAACTCCCGTTCCCTCGTTTGGGACTGAAAAATAAAATGTACTTTTTAAAACAGGACTGTAGGCGGCGATGTGCGCATTTATTTTGTAAAAATTACTCTGCCGGATACGCCTGTTCTCAAGCGGAAGTAGAATTTTCAAGATGGAGGTGGACGGGATCGATCATGTAGGTGTTTTTTCTCTCCGCTGTTTTGTTGAATTAATTCGTGTATTATCAAGGAAATGCTACAATTATGCGTTGAGTCGAATAGTTTCTTTAAAGCAGCTGTGAGACGGAATGGTTATGCGATCGTGCTGTAAATAGTGAAATGTCAGTTAGTTTATAACATTGAATGAGTAGTATGCAGCCGGTTTGCTGTCTCATTGTAGCTAACCCGGCTACAGACCTAGCCGAGCCTCACTGTCAATTGTATGCGTAGTTAGCTTGAGTTAGCTTCTTTTACTGACTGGTAGTGGTGAATCGGCACAGTATTCCCGTTTTTTTGTGTTTATAATACACAAGAGGTGCGAAATACAAGTTATAATTCTGACCAAGCGTTATTTTGTCTTTGTCAGTGCGAGTTAGGCTAGGCTAGCTAACGCTAGCTTATGTTGGTTAATGGATAAACTAATTGGGTAATTACGGAGAGGCAAGTAACGTTAACGTTTGTTTTGTTGTTGCGAAAACTGTTTCTGAATAAAGGTACTTTGCTGCCTTTAAATATCTTAAATGTGTCAACAGTCCAGCATTACTAACCAGGCTTGATGAGTTGATAATCGGTGTCCACAGATGTTCATTACATTTGTGTGGTTACTGTTACTTGAATAGACCTAATGTTAGTGTTTTAATTAATAAGGTAAACTCAATTAGTCGACCAATTGGAAATAAATCAACATCAGTTCTGTTAAATTGTTTAAATTGTCATTTATCAAGATAAAACATCATATTCACAGTCTTAAGTTCTTACAGTTGGGCATTTATTGTTTTATATTATTGGAAATTGGATATGTACTGCTGTTGGACAATCTGAATTCTGAAAGTGTTACTAGAATTCTGGGAACTAATGATGGCAGTGTTTCAGAATTTTATAGACCAAATGAAAGCAGTCAGTAGCTGCAGGCCTTCTCTGTCATAATGGCAGAGCTCTCACTTGAAGAAATCTGTCATTAAGAGCTGTTGATGCCAGTGTTTTAAAGTTTGATGATTTTTCTTTTGACAGATGGAGATGGGGGAGAGTAAAGGTGGCTCAGGTCTCCGGCAGTACTACTTGTCTAAGATAGAAGAGTTACAGGTGAGAAAATAATATCTGGTAAATTTCAACTGGTAATATGACTTGGATTTCACAACTTTTGTTTGCCTGTCAATCCTGAAGCACTGTTTTCTCAACAGTTGACAGTGAATGAAAAGAGCCAGAATCTCAGACGTCTGCAGGCACAGAGGAATGAGCTCAATGCCAAAGGTACACTATGGTTCATTTCTGTAACATCATTGTATTTCAAAATATAATTCCACGCTGTCAAATGAAGCTGTACCAAAATTGTGCTTATGTTTGGAAATGAAATAGCTTTTCTCTTTTCTTAGTGCGTCTCCTTCGTGAGGAGCTGCAGTTACTGCAGGAGCAGGGGTCCTATGTAGGTGAAGTGGTTAGGGTCATGGACAAAAAGAAAGTGCTTGTCAAGGTATGCTCTACACTTGTTTTCCAAAGTTCTTTGTAGTGCACTGTATTTTGAGTGCCATTTGACAGTTTAGATATAAACGTCTCCTCACCAATTTCAGGTGCATCCAGAAGGAAAATTTGTTGTGGATGTGGACAAGAATATTGACATCAATGATGTAAGTATTATAGGTTTGTCACAGTACTTAACCCGTTTTCCTATTGTTGTCAATACAAGAACTTAAAAACTAAAATGTCAGAAGTGCAACACTTAAGAAAACAAACAAGTTGTAACCACCATAGTTCAAGACTGAATACCAACTAACCCATATACGCCATATTGCTACCCTGTACAGTCAGTCACTAAGATAAAGGAGGATTTGTTGTTAGGAAACATGAAACCTAAAACATTTTATCATCCCTTTGTCACTTCTGCACCAGGTGACTCCAAATTGCCGTGTGGCACTGCGCAACGACAGCTACACCCTGCACAAGATCCTGCCCAACAAGGTGGACCCCCTGGTGTCTCTCATGATGGTCGAGAAGGTGCCGGACTCCACTTATGAAATGATTGGTGGCCTGGATAAGCAGATCAAGGAGATCAAAGAAGTTATTGAGCTGCCTGTTAAGCACCCAGAGCTGTTCGAGGCTTTAGGCATTGCACAGCCCAAGGTGGGTGATTGACAAGACAGCTGATAGCATAAGAGCACACTTTTTCTTTTCTTTTTTTTTTTTATACATTGTACTGAAAAATGTCTACTCTTTTCTTGCCTTTTTTATAAGATCAGAGAATAGGTTTGTCCAGGTGTTGCAATGTGTCTCCATGAGACTTCCTGTATCTGTTGTTTCAAATTAACAGCCCTCTGCAGAATTGTGCAATTGCGACTTTTAAATGTATAGAAAGGAAACATTGGCCCATATATAGTTGCATCATCACCATGGCATTTTCACATGAAGGAGCTTATGTTGCTTTGTGTAAGACCTTTTATATTTATTTTTGGTGATTTTTATTTATTAACATTTTGAGATTAAAGCCTGTGGCTTCTCTACGGGTTTAGAATCTTTTTCTTGCAGATTAGGTTTATTAAACCAGTTCAGATAATGTCCGAGGCAAAAAAAATTTAATTGCATGAAGAAAAACAGATCTTATTTGACAACATTGATATATGCAGGGCCTGAGTGATGTAACACAGATGAAAAACAGCAGCTCAACAAAAAACTCGGTCCAGAGAAGTTTTGTCGTTGTTGCTTGAATAGTGACTGAAATGATTAATTGTTGCAATTGTAGTCATATGGTGTATCCATCTGTCAGTGTATAGATGGTTCTGATTTCTGTGTGGCTTTATGTGGTTGCAGGGTGTGCTGTTGTACGGTCCCCCTGGTACAGGGAAGACCCTGCTGGCCAGAGCTGTGGCCCACCACACTGACTGTACCTTCATAAGGGTTTCCGGCTCTGAGCTGGTCCAGAAGTTCATCGGAGAGGGTGAGCTCCTCCTTAATACTGTAATCAATTTCACTTCCATTCTTGGTTAGACTTTATCAAAAGCATCTGGTTGTGTAACCTTAATTGCCCCCCCCCCTTGCACCAGGTGCCCGTATGGTGCGTGAGCTGTTCGTCATGGCTAGAGAGCACGCTCCCTCCATCATCTTCATGGATGAGATCGATTCCATCGGCTCGTCTCGTCTGGAGGGCGGCTCAGGTGGTGACAGCGAGGTGCAGAGGACAATGCTGGAGCTGCTCAATCAGCTGGACGGTTTCGAGGCAACTAAGAACATCAAGGTATCTCACACATACACGTTGACATAATTCCATTTATTTTTTGTTGTTCAATGTTGATGGAACTTTTCACATATTTGATCATTATTGTACCAGTACCCTACTATGTATTTCATTTTATTGTTACTTAAATCCTTGTTATCCATACTTAAATATTGTTTTATAGTGTGCCTACAGCAGCCCCACTACAGTATGTTTCTTTACTTTATAGATGAAAAATAGGGGTTAAACATAATAAATGTTACATATGTATGTATGTAGGTAGCAGCTTAAAAATGATAAATGCTGGGGAGTTGAAGTAGTAATTAATAGTAGTAATTAATTTCACTACTGATGCCCTTAAACCTTCTGTTCTGCTGTTTATGAATACACCTTAATTACCCAAGTGCTCTAATGAATCTGACTAAAATGCTTCTGTCCCTGCAGGTCATCATGGCCACTAACCGTATCGATATCCTTGACTCAGCTCTGCTCAGACCAGGCAGGATTGACAGGAAGATTGAGTTTCCCCCTCCAAATGAAGAGGTAGATACTTGGCACAGTATGTTCACATACTTACACATGATGTGGGAGGTTTTGTGTTTGAGTATGTTTTAATTGTGCATCATAAGGCTCGTCTGGACATCCTGAAGATCCACTCCAGGAAGATGAACCTGACACGTGGCATTAACCTGAGGAAGATTGCAGAGCTGATGCCTGGAGCCTCTGGTGCTGAGGTTAAGGTGAGAATTGGCACACTGAATGGCAGCAGGCCGCTGGTCTTAAATGAGGTGGTTCATAATTGAATTTCCTTATTATGTGTGTATTTTTAGGGTGTTTGCACAGAGGCAGGTATGTATGCTCTGAGAGAGAGGAGAGTTCACGTCACCCAGGAGGACTTTGAGATGGCTGTGGCAAAGGTTAGTAGAATTACCTCCTCTCCTGAACAGAATGAATCCCACACCTTATATTTTTAGTGTTAAGTTTTCTTCTTATGCTCACTCAGTAAATGTTTGTACCTTTATCTACCTGCCTATTGAGACCGTTTCTCTTCGTACTCGTCACCAGGTGATGCAGAAAGACAGCGAGAAGAACATGTCCATCAAGAAGCTGTGGAAGTAAAAGGCCTCGTGTATTCTTGCACACGATTTAACCACATATGTATATTTTTCTTCTTTTGTTTATGGGTTGGTTTGTAATTGTTACATAAGTCATTCTAAAGTAAATGGTTTCCCGAAATAAAACTGGATGGCTCATGAATTTTATTTTTCAGCTAAACACGCTTTTCTAAATCGAATTCAGACTCTTATCAAAGCCAAATTGGGTAACTGTAACACAAGCATAGGTTCCAGCAGTGAAAAATTAGACATCTGCAGAGTTATATTTTCACTTTACAATTATATTTATTAGTTTAACATGTTCAATATGGCACTTCAGTAATGTAGTGGATGTCTTTCAGTATTGATCACACAAGTGCAGATGCTTTCTTTAGGAACATTATCCTGCATGCATGTACTTCATGCCCGTCAGAGCTGTTATACTGCCACTGCACTATTTATGTACACCAGCCTGTGCCTGTATGACTTAAGTTACAGTGATCCATCTAATCAGAAACGCTTGCTTCATGTTCAGACTGATGAAAAAAGCAGCTTTCAGTCCTCGCAGATGTTCTTTTATGATAGTGACTCAACTCACAAACCTGTATCTGTGGAATGGTTATATGGCAGTAAACACTGGATCACTCCCAACATTCAGAGGCTCCCAGCAGTTTTGTCTGTCCTCGCTTAGCGGGTCCACTTTCCGATATGAAGCAGTCGGACTCAGTTAAGCGGACTAGCTCCTCACCCAGGACACAGGCACCCACTGGGGTTCCATCTGCACCCTCTCCAGTACGACCTGGAGCTCTGCTAAGGCACTGACTGGATCCTCCTTCACCAAGACATAGTCCACCCAGTGGCCATAGCACTCTTCCATCCGCTCTGCCGACTGCTTCATTTCCTGTAGGTCCTCCTCCTATTTCGAAAAAGAGCGAGAGATGTAGATTCAGAGCATGCACACAGGTGGGGAAAACTTCAAAGTAACAAGTTCAATTTCTTCAGGAAAGGCTTCAAGTAAACAATTTATGTTCTTCAAGGTATTTCCATGGAACTCACCGTGATCCCTAAGCTGAGAGAGGAAGAGGAGCCAAGCTGTTTCTTTTGAGTAACATAGATGCGAGGCCGTGCAAAGATGATGAAAGGCTTGAAGTCAGCGGTACGTAGAGTCTTCAGTGCCTGAATGTGGGGGGAATAGCATGTATGGTACTTAGAAGACAAAGGGCTCACCATTTCTAGACTGTACAGTAGATGTTAAATGTTTTCTCCTGTCTTAGTGTAACAGACATGTAATGCAACTAAGTTATCAATGATTATACTTTGCAAAATCTGAAAAAAAAAAACAAAACGACTCTTTAAACATTAACTATCCTTAACCTTACACAAGAACCAGATGTGGCCTGTAGAACTTGAAGCTGACAAGAGCCTGAGGGTGAAAGCACCCTTCAGCTCAGTGAACTAACAGCTCTGCGATGTAAGCTGAACCCAGACTTTAGACATGACGAGCAGAATCTTAACATCTCTAATTTAACTGTCAGAGCAGTGATGCTAAAACGTGGGAACAGAGCTTCTGTTCTTCACTAATTAAAATCCTTTCAGCTGCATTATGTATGAACTGTCAGAGACTTTTAATTAAGACAGATAAAATGAGCTGCAATAATCTTAGTGTGATAAGATAAGTGAGGCTGACAATCTGTTCATCCTGATCTGAGGTTTTATGCCGGCAGATGGATCCAAGAAATAAGGGGGGGGGGGGTCACTTGAATTAATTTAAATGTAAAGAAAACAAAATCCTCTACATCAAATTTCTTATATATAACCTTGTGTCTATGCTCCAAGTCCTGCCAAGTGAATTCAAAATACAGGGGCTGCAATTTAAGTACTGACCTCTGGTTGCACATCCACTAGACAGACTTTGTTTTGATCCAAAACTCTATTGATGGACTCCAAACCGGTGCCGTACAGATTATCTTTATACTCCCCATATTCAATAAACCTGCAAAAAAAAAAAGAAAACAGTGCCATGGTGAACTATTCAGAAAAAGAAATGCTAAATAATATGCACTGGCTGAACAGTTTAGTAACAAGTAATTAAAAAATCTGGATAGCTTAAATTAATCACTTTCTTGTTGACAGGCTGAAATCTTTAATATACAGCAAACCATTTGTTTTATTTAATTGCTTGGTTTACAAGATAGTCTTTTCAGTGTTGAATACTTACTTGCCATTCTGGATGTCTGCCTCGAAAGCTGCTTTAGTGATGAAGTGGTACTCCACTCCTTCTCTCTCGTGACACTTCCTGGCTCGAGTGGTGTCTTCAGGCCACATGTTTAAACACAGCCAGCACAAGGACAGGGTGAGGAGAAAAAAAAAGAAAATTACTGAACGTTTGCATTCTCTCTGAAAACAGAACAGAACAGAACCTGTCCTCATTGAAATATCAAGCTGTTTTTAAATCAGAATGATCTAGGTGGCGTATAAATTATTGTTTTAAGTAACTGAAATGAAAGTCATTAATTGATGATTCATTAACTAATCACAAACTGGAATTCATGATACAACCTGCATTAACTCATCATGAAGGTTTTGTAAGATAGTAAAGTAAATTAGAGGCTGTGCAAAACTAACGTCAGTACTGTCCACTCCAAAAGAGCGTATTACAGCTGTATATGCAAGAGAGGACAAGACTGGTGAAAATGTTTCCACACCATAGCTCATTTCTTTTGGTGTAGCTTTTTGTGAAATAAGCTCCTGGGGAGAGGGGACAGCAGTAGATTTATGTTACTTGTATCCTTGATCACCAGCATTACAGAAACTAGGTCCTCAGGTGAAAGCCACAGCATCTTTAACCACTGACACAGAAAGAAATTCCTGCATCTCCAAACTGACTGCAGAGCAGGTGGGGGGATAAAAAAGCTAAAGAGAAAATAAAAAACAATAAACTCACGAGGCACAGCCAAACCGTAGTGTCGAGGATTCTCAGCTATCACCTTCTGTTTGAGCTCAGTGATCCGAGCTCCCAGGGAACCTGTGACCGTACAAATAATAGACAGTTATACAAGATGATCATGTGCTGGGAATATACCTGCATGCAAAACATAAAACAATATTTTTACTTTACTGCCAATGCTTAGTGTAACTTTAATAGCAAATTGTCCTTCCAAAAATACAAGTGCAGTTTCTTCAATGTCATCAAACCCAACAGCTGACCTACCTATCAGTACTATAAGGCGAGGCCTCTCACTAGGGCGGGGCAGGTATTGTGTTACTTCTTCATAAATCAGAAAGTCTGTGTGATTAGCATCTGGAGTGTGAGCTTCTCCTGGTGCAGCCTGGCGATCTTTCTTGAGGCGGAAACTTCTGCGCAGGCTGGCTGTGGTCCAAGACATGCAAGTACAAATGTAAGATGTACGAACACTAAAGCCCTCTGAAAGTCTATTGCAAGATCACACTGCCACTAAGAAAACTTGACATTGAGAAAAAAGTTAATGGAAGAGTGAACTAAAAAAATCCAGTACAGTGAAATCAGTGTATCTCACTCTCCCTGATTAAAACTTCAAATCCTGTGTGTACATTATATCACAAAACACAGACACACTGAACACCACCAGAAGAAATCAGTAAGAGTACCTGAGTAAAAATCCCATGAGAAAGCATGGCCACAGAAGGCAGGGGCTGCCTTACTCTTGGGAGAAACTATAGCTCATATTAGACCATTTATTCAACCAGCTTACTGTGTAGAATAGAAGCTTTGAAGCCATGCATGCTACGGCTACCTCACCACCAAACACGAACAAAGCACCTTTAGCATGTGGTGTGAGGAAGAGAGGCTGTTTGCGAAGCACAATGAGATAAATGAGCTGCCATGAGGTGCCACAAAGACACTGGGAGAAGCTCCGTGGCTATAGCGTACTGCACAAAAAGCCTGCCAGTGTAATAAGCACGCACACAGATTAAGTGCTGGGCTTTTACACAAAGTGAGGGCCATGAAAATGTACCCACAATAAACAGGCTGCCACTTATCAGTTCCTGACACAAAAAGCCATTTTAAACCTCTACAGTTTTCGCATTATTGTCCAATCACACTAATCAAACCAAAATCATCACAGTAACTTCACTATACTCACTACTCACCTATTGTGCTCGATAGGATCCAAATTACAAGTTTATTTTAAACTGTACATATCTTGTTCAATTTTTTTATGACATTTGATAAAAATATAGTATCAGTCTGACTATACCATGCTTATGTCATTTTGCGCTGAGTATAAAGAAAAGATGAACTAACAAAGCTGTGACACAGCCACTTAAAATGGAAAGTTTACATGCTATGTCAAATGTACAGTCTCATATTGGATTGGGAGATCAATATTCTGACAGACACTGGCAGATCTGAAGTGAAGCTGTGTGTGACATTTTGGTCAGAATGGATCTGTATGATTGACAAATGATGTGAAGATGAGGTCCAGATCAAAATGGCTGTGGTAAAGCTTTAAGGCACAACAACTCCATAGAAGCACAGTCACATTAAGGTAAGAGCAGCCAGGAAATCTGATGATGAACAAACTGGTAAGATTACTAACTAACTGGGCTTTGAGGACAACAGTGGATCAGGTCAGGTGTGGGTGAAAAAAAAAAAAAACTTTCTCGCTATGTTGCATGGTTTTTAAAAAGAAGATAGAGTGCCGTGGTGAGGTGTTATATCTGCTGTTAAGTTCAAAGAATAATACCAGCATTCATCTACCCTGACCCTCAAATCACAACCAAAGCAGCACAAAGCAATCCACCACAACACCTCAACGAAGCTTGCAGTTTCTAAAAGAAGGGATGGATTAGCACACAGATACAGCAGAAATGTGATGTTGCAGTGATTAGGGTAAACTCATTGATTGTGCCTCCTCACCTATGTCCTTTCCATTCAGAGCACCATCACTGTCACAGTCTTCTGTAAGATGGCAAGCAGGAAGAGAAGACAGGGCAAGAGGAGGGAGCAGAGGTTGATGTCGAGGGTACTTTAATGTGCAGAACACAGCAGGTTAAGTGCAGTAACTATGACATACAGATGGGAGGGTTTTGTTGGTGCAAAGACAACTGTAAAGGCTAAAAACAAGGGCAAATTGTGTGTGAGGGAGGGGATGCTGGGATGGGTTCACAAGAATCTATGTTTCTGTGAGTCTCAGGTGGACTTGCTGATAAGAATACCATGGAGGAATTCGACCATGAACACATGTAGTCAAGTCCAGGGATGAGAGATGTGCTCTAACATGAGGGTTTGTCTACATACCTCTCTCAGCACGATCATCTGAGGACAGCAATGCAAGGAATAACACACAGTATCACTGTAGGGTGTTAACAGAATACCACACACCACTGTTCTGCGCCTCCTAATACACATGACTATGAGGTTCACTTTCTCAAATTCACTGTCATTGTCTTCCAAATGTCGCATCTAAATTGCATCTGTGCTTGGAAATACATTACCCACTTATCTGCTTTTCTTGATCTCCTTTTTGAAGCTTAGTGAGAGTTTAGCTTTTATGCAGATGGATGCAAGAAAAGAGCTCACCCAAACCTCTTTGTTTCACTTAACTGTTTAAAATTGGATTAGAGAATGATACAATGGATTACGTTTTTGAGCTTAACCTCAGATCCCCTGTTCCCTTTACATGATCTCTTTCTGTATCTCATTGGTTGGATTAGATTTGACCTGCAATACAAACTGTATAGATCTAAGCTTATTGTACATTTGTGGGTGTAAGGTTAGGGAAAATGGCCGTGATTGCAGAGGTAAAATAAGGCTTACATGTAGGAGTTTTCGGAGACACAGGAGCAGGAAAGGAACCCATTTTCATCCTGTATCTTAGGCGCCTGAGGAAAAAAAAGATTTATTATTGATCTAATAAAAAGGTAATCAGTTATTTATGTCACAGCTGATCTGATGCCGACTACCTCTCCTGGAATTGTGTGGAGGGGATGAGGGCGGCGCGCAGGTTACAGTCGCCCACCTTCTTGGCCTGCCACCAAGTGGTGTCCTCCTGGCTCACCACCTGGAGAATGTCTCCCCTCTTAAAAGGAAGTCCTGCCTCTTGGCACGGTGTGGCCTTGTCATCAAAGGGGGTATAGTCAAACAAAGCCCGAAGGTAGACCTGAGGGATGCAGGGATATTCTGTCAGTAGTGGTAATTTTCAAGAAGTAGTTCCGCATTTTGGGAAATACGTTTATTCACATTCTTGCTTGGAGTTCAATGGGTAGATCGATACCACTCTCATGACTGTCCATTAAATAAGTAGTAGGTGGATTTTGTTACCTTTGGACAGAGTCTTGCTAGCTGTTTCCCCGTTTTCAGTCTTTATGCCAGTCTTTAACCAACTGCTGCCTATAGCCTTATATTTAATGAATGCATATGAGAATGGTATAAATCTTCAAATCTTATCCTCAACAAGAAAGCAAATCTCCCAAAGATATTGAATCCTTTAATAAATTCATCAAGAGATAATTAATGAGTGCATTGTCATTGATAAAAAAAAACACAACAAAATTCTCTTATTAAAAACATCAATCAAAAAATAAAATAGATATATTTTCCCAATTTTAGGGGGGGGTGTTCTGAAGCAAAGTGGCTGTATATTTAGACAGGAAGTCCTCACCCTGCTTTCCTTCAGTTTGTCTTCCTCTACGACAGCTGGAATTATTTTGAGTGTGATGGAGCCTTGAGACTGGGACTGATCAAAAACATAAGAGTAGCACTGTCATCCACTGTATCCACAGTAATCATCAGTATCAGAACTAGCATGATGCTACATGGAAAAGCTTTTTTTTTCCCCTTTACCAAAATCTGACTTATTTCATCTGGCCTTTTGTGGGTTATCAGGTTTCCGTTGACCTCTCGAAGCTCATCCCCTACATGCACCAGACCTGGAAACACAAACACAACACAACCCACAAAACAAATCCATTGAAAACAAAGCGAAGGAAAATCCCAGTATGTGTAGTACCACTAAGAGTATTTTTTTTGAGGATAATGCTCAGATGTGAACAAAAAACAAACAATTTTCTGTTGGCAAAAAGTTGATAACATCTCCATGGCAACAGCCAGGAGCGACCCTTGTTGGTAATCTCAAAATATGCAATCTCGTGGCACTAATCTCAAGGATTTGATCTCTGTTAACAGTTCATGTGGTTACACAACGTAATCTCCTCACTTCCCTTTCAGTGTATCAGTAGTGATGAGAAAGTTCGACATATATGAGGCGGATTATTTTCTTATGGCACTTTGCTGCAGTCAGGCAAAATAAAAGAAGACAACTGATCAAGGGCGTAGGTTTGCATATAGACGGTAGGGACATGTCCCTACAGATATTTGAGTGAACTCGCACTATGTTTGGAGTGAAGTCATATTAAGTCATTTCAATGTGCCCTCCAAGAGGGTACGACTCCAAGACAACCAATTTGGGTATGCTAGCATTTGAATGACTGAAAGGGTGGGGGGCTATCCGAAGGTTCACATCATGTGCGAATATCACAGTGGTAACATCAAAAACAAAAACAAAATGTTAACTGATGTTATTTTGTTAGCAAGCATTAACTAGCAAGGTAACCATGGCTTTTGTCTTCTGTAAAACAGCAGTCAGGTTGCTAGCAGGAGTAGACATAAAATGCTGGATATATCAAAAGCATGAGTTTTATTTCTGTTGAAAACTCCCAAATAATGATAGCATGAATACCATGACTTTTTTTGCCTTACTGTATTATGACATTTGTATACCTTACTATATTCTGACTTTTTATGCCTTACTATACTGTTTTTGTCTTACTATACTAAGTCGTTTTTATTACTTTTTATACCTTGCTATACTATGATGTGAATGACATTTTTATGCCTTACTACACTGTCGTTTTTATGACTTTTTGTGCTTACTATACTGAGAAAACCGGTTAAGGCAGACGGCCAGTTCTGTTTAAGGTTTCTTTCTGTCATGAGGAACTTTTTCCTCCCCCATCGCAAAGTGCTTAATTATAGTGTCAACTGTTGGTTTTCTGTCTCTAATACAACAACATCTCGACCTTACCCTGTAAAGTGCTGTGAGGTCATTTATATTGTGATTTGACAGTATGCAAATAAAACTGAATTGAAATTTAATTGTATGTTTTTGTCGTTTTTATGCCTTACTATAGTGTGACATATTAATGATGTTTTGTGTCTTACTGTACTGTGCCATTTTAAGACGTTACTATACTATGATGTATGTATTACTTTTTATGCCTTACTATACTATGACTTTTTATATTTTTTATGTCTATACTATACAGTGAGGTTTTTATGACTTTTTATGCCTTACTATACTATGACCTTTTTATGCCTTACTATACTATGCTGTTTTTATGACTTTTTATGCGTTACTATACTATGCTGTTTTTATGGCTTTTTATGCCTTACTATACTATTACCTTTTTATGACTTACTATACTGACCTTTTTATGACTTTTTATACCTTAATATACTATGACCTTTTTATGTCTTTTTATGCCATACTATACTATGACTTTTTATGCCTTGCTATACTATGACTTTTTATGCCTTGCTATACTATGACTTTTTATGCTTTACTATATGTATTGATGTTTTTATGACTTTTTGTGCCTTACTATACCAAGAAAACCGGTCAAGGCAGACGGCCGCCCGCCCTGAGCCCGGTTCTGTTCAAGGTTGCTTTCTGTCTTGAGGAACTTTTTCCTCCCCCATCGCAAAGTGCTTCCTTATAGTGTCAACTGTTGGTTTTCTTTCTCTAATACGACAACGTCTCGACCTTACCCTGTAAAGTGCTGTGAGGTCATTTATATTGTTATTTGACAGTATGCAAATAAAATTGAATTGAAATTTAATTATATGTTTTTGTCGTTTTTATGCCTTACTAAAGTGTGACATTTTCATGATGTTTTGTGTCTTTCTGTACTATGACGTTTTTATGACTTGCTATACTATGCCATTTTCTGACTTTTTATGCCTTACTATACTATGACCTTTTTATGACTTACTATAATGACCTTTTTATGACTTTTTATGCCTTACTATACTATGACCTTTTATGCCTTGCTATACTATGACTTTTTATGCCTTAGTATACTATGACCATTTATACCTTGCTATACTATGACCTTTTATGCCTTGCTATACTATGATTTTTTATGCCTTAGTATACTATGACCATTTATACCTTGCTATACTATGACCTTTTATGCCTTGCTATACTATGATTTTTTATGCCTTAGTATACTATGACCTTTTATGCCTTGCTATACTATGACTTTTTATGACTTTTCATGCCTTGCTATACTGTGACGTTTTTATGGCTTTTTATGCCTTACTCTACTATGCTGTTTTTATGACTTTTTATGCCTTACTATACTATGACCTTTTTGTGACTTTTTATGCCTTACTATACTATGACTTTTTTATGCCTTACTATACTATGACGTTTTTTGTGACTTCTTATGCGTTACTATACTATGCTGTTTTTATGGCTTTTTATGCCTTACTATACTATGACCTTTTTATGACTTTTTATGCCTTACTATACTATTACCTTTTTATGACTTTTTGTGCCTTAATATACTATGACCTTTTTATGTCTTTTTATGCCTTAATATACTATGACCTTTTTATGTCTTTTTATGCCTTACTATGACTTTTTTATGCCTTTTTATACCTTACTATACTATGCCGTTTTTTTGACTTTTTATGCCTTGCTATACTACGCTCTTTTTATGACTTTTTATGCCTTACTATACTATGACCTTTTTATGACTTTTTATGCCTTACTATACTATGACCTTTTTATGACTTTTTCTGCCTTGCTATACTATGACTTTTCATGCCTTGCTATACTATGCTGTTTTTGTGACTTTTTATGCCTCACTATACTATGATGTTTTTTTTTACTTTTTATGCCTTACTATACTATGACCTTTTTATGCCTTACTATACAATGCTGTTTTTATGACTTTTTATAACTGACTATATTATGACCTTTTTATGACTTTTCATGCCTTGCTATACTATGACGTTTTTTATGGCTTTTTATGCCTTACTATAATATGATGTTTTTTATGGCTTTTTATACTTTACTATACTATGACGTTTTTATGACTTTTTATGCCTTACTATACTATGACCTTTTTAGGACTTTTTATGCCTTGCTATACTATGACTTTTTATGCTTTACTATATGTATTGATGTTTTTATGACTTTTTGTGCCATACTATACTATGACCTTTTCATCACTTTTTATGCCTTTCTATACTATGACCTTTTTATGACTTTTAATGCCTTGCTATACTATGACCTTTTTAGGACTTTTTATGCCTTATTATACTATGACGTTTTTATACCTTACTATACTATGCTGTTTTTATGACTTTTTATGCCTTACTATACTATGACCTTTTTAGGACTTTTTATGGTTTACTATACTATGACCTTTTTATGACTTTTAATGCCTTACTATACTATGCTGTTTTTTTTTTTATTTTCATGCCTTGCTGTACTGTGACGTTTTGATGGCTTTTTATGCCTTACTCTACTATGCTGTTTTTATGACTTTTTATGCCTTACTATACTATGACCTTTTATGCCTTGCTATACTATGACCTTTTTATGACTTTTTATGCCTTACTATACTATGCTGTTTTTATGACTTTTTATGCCTTACTATACTATGACCTTTTTATGGCTTTTTATGCCTTACTATATTATGACCTTTTTATGCCTTACTATACTATGACCTTTTTATGACTTTTTATGCCTTGCTATACTATGACTTTTTATGCCTTACTATTCTATGACCTTTTAATGACTTACTATACTATGATGTTTTTTTGACTTTTTATGCCTTACTATACTATGCTGTTTTTATGACTTTTTATGCCGTACTATACTATGACCTTTTTAGGACTTTTTATGCCTTACGATACTATGATGTTTTTTTGACTTTTTATGCCTTACCATACTATGACCTTTTTATGCCTTACTATACTATGCTGTTTTTATGACTTTTTATGCCTTACTATACTATGACCTTTTTATGGCTTACTATACTATGGACTCTTTTTATGAACTTTTTATGCGTCTACTATATATGCTTTATGACTTTTAATGCTTTACTATACTATGCTGTTTTTTTGACTTTTTATGCCTGCCTTACTATACTTTTATGCCTTTTATGCCTTACTCATACTATGCTGTTTTAAATGACTTTTTATGCCTTTACTATACTATGACCGCTTTTTTATGGACTTTTTTTATGCCTTACCATATCTATGACCTTTTAATGACCTTGCTATACTATGAGACTTTTTATTGAAACTTTTTATGCCTTACTATACTATGCTGTTTTTATGACTTTTCTATTGCCTTCCTATACTTATGCACCTTTTTATGGACTTTTTTATGCTCTTACAGTCTATGATGTTTTGACGTTTTTAATGCCTTACCGATACTATGACCTTTTTATGCTTAATCTTGCTTTATACTTTTTTATGCCTTGCTTATACTATGACCTTTTTTAGTTTTGGCCCTTACTATACTATCTGATGTTTTATTTGACTTTTTATTGTGCCTTACTATACTAATGACCTTTTATATGCCTTAACTATACTATGGCTGTTTTTAATGACTGTTTTAATGCCTTACGTTACTATGACCTTTTCTAAGGATTTTTTTATGCCTTACTATTACTATGGCCTGTTTTTATGAATTGTATGACTTAACCTATCTTATGAACTTTGTGTATGCCTTACTATACTATGCTGTTTTTATGAATTTTCTTATCGCTTACTATACTATGCTTGGTTTGGCATTGTTATGCCTCTTGCTTTAGATGCCTTACTATAGCTACCTGAC